TTTGCAATACTTATATTTCAATAAGGGATCTTGATGACGATATCCATGTCCTTCGAAAAATTGATCTTTGTAATATGTAAAAAGGGACAATTTTAATAAAAATTGTCATTCATGACTTAATACATTTCTTTTCGTTTATGTCTGCCTTAAACTCAAAGGACCTCACCTTCCCAGAAACTAAAATATATTCATAAGAGAGTCTTAATTTCAATCTTTGTAACAAAAAAAAAACAAACATAACTCAATGTTTCTAGAGTTTTCATTTTTAGAATAGTGAATATTTAGAACTTTTGTAACTTTCCTTCTGTCCTTTCATTAATCCGATGTGACTGGAGGGTTTAGCTGCCTTAAATTTATTTTCGTATATATTCCTATACCTCCAAGCCACCTATGCCATGTAGTTCTCTTCTGTTTTTCAGACATATGTAGAGGAGGTTCCAGAGCACGAGTGCGGACTCGATATTAGAAATGTTGTTGAGGAGGCACTTTATGGAGGAATGTATCCCACTCGCAATCAGCGCTTCAAGAAAACGTTTCAGCGATGGTGCCTTGTTTCTAGAAAGCACCCGTACGCAAATCGTTTTTTCAAAAGCACGGCCTCTATAGGCAAAGAAATAACTCGTCACGCAAAGTGTTGCCCAACAATAATTCACCCTTTTAGTATATTTCGGTAAATATGTAGTTGTAATTTATTTCAACAATCGTTCTTCATATAGGTGTATGATCTATGAAATTAATGCAGTGGGTAATAATTTATGTAAGAAAGATATATCAAGTTTTTTTTAGGATGTTGCCCCTCAGGTTTTGAATGTGGTAAGTAATAGGATCCAGTTTACAGTAAAAATACGACTATAACTACACCCTTTATTCATTCCCACGTTAGCTTATTGCACGTTGAAGACTTACAATAGCAATGATTAATGAATGGATTCCTAGTAATAATGAAAATTTGTATTTTAGGAGCAATTGGGAAATATTTATGATATTCATACATTCTGCTGCGTTTGTTATCTTCCCATTTATCTTATCATTTCCCAAAACCACTTCCGGAGAGTTTCAATATATTGATCCCGAAACGGGACAAATAACAGATTACGATTTATTGGATGAAGAAGAATTGGCAAATAAACGTCAAAAAAAATATCTCGAGGTTGTTAATTGGGACTATGTTTTAATGGGATTTGGCATACTTACATTAATAGACATGGTAGTCAACTTTAGTACTGGTTATGTACGTAAGGATACACGAGAAATTGTACTGAAGAGGAAGAACATTATTGGGTAAGAAATTGGAATATTTGTATATCAGAGGGACTTACAATATGACTGATATTTTAAGCTGAGCTTTCAAATAATTTTGTAAGTGGCAATAACATCAGCTTTCGAATAATTTCAAAATTATAACGAAAAAACGAGTCTGTTTTGTTTGCTTCAACAACCTAAAAGTTTTGAATACCTTCTTTCCCTACAAACGAATATATAAGTACACATAGTCAGCACGTGGACAGAGTAGCATGATTGCTTACGTTTTAGCAAATGAAAAGACAAGAAGACTCTTTGCTGACGTAAGAATATGTAGAGAATGGGATATATATATAGTGACCATTTTGCATTGGTGGAGAAATTGAAACTCTACAAACGATGGTATAAAATGAAGAAAAATATAGTTTCATCTGGCAACAGGCAGTGGAAAGTCTATTTACTTCTAGTAGTCTTCATAAAATAATTTTACCAACAGAGGCTAGATGAAATAAATGAAAAGTACCCTGTTAGCCAAGATGTCGAAGACGAATGGAAACAAATTAAAAGAGTGATAGATACTTCAGCAATGGAAGGTATTGGTATTTCTACTCAAAGACAGAAAAGTAACTAGGGGTGCTACAGAATGGCACAGATTTTCCCGTATTAGTTTTCTATTTCCATTGCCCTCGGCTTGCTATTCGAAGTTGCCACTCATTCTTAGCCGCTGCCATCTAGCACCACCCAAAGTACATTTTTGTGACATTTTCTTAATTTTCGGTTTCATAATAGTAAAACGCAAATATTTTTAAGAATATTAAAGAACAAAATAATCTTATCCTGAATGGCAATTTTCTTTGAAAAATTTGGAGCCGTTTTTCTGAAATTGGAGATTAAGCACAACAGTAAAATCGAAATTTCAAGCTCATGTTCACAGAAAATTTCTGGATTAAAAAAAATATTTTGAAGCATATTAACTCACAAAGACAATAGTGTTTATAATTGTTGGATATGTGCATATTCCCGGCGTGAGAAATCTTAAAAAAAATACATTTCTGTAATTTTGTAAAAAAGAAAACGTACCCCAAAATGAACATTACTTCAATTTAAAGAGCGCACTGAGCACTATACTTCGGAAATGTTTGAAGAAGAAATTTGGAGCCGTGTTTGAGAAAATAGCGTTTGGACGTTTCTGAAAATGCGGAATTTTGAGCTTGTTTTCACATAAAACGGTTGAGTATTCGAGGAACATTATTTTGTGGAACATTATTTAAAACACATGTTTTTATTAATCGAATAATGTGAAAAAATGTCTGCTTTTGTAAATATTAACGAGGTCAGAGACAAGTAAAAAAAGTACATTTTTGACATTTATGAGAAAATGAACAACGACAATTTGCCGTTTATAATATCTTCTAGAGTGCATTTAGCACTATCCTTATCAAAAGTTTATAAAACAAATTTGGAGCCGTTTTTGAGAAAATCTTGTTTTTGTAATTTTTTTAATCCACATATTGCACGCAATATTGCGAGAAAACTCACAAAATTTTCAAAAAAGTGTACCTGCCTTAATGAAAGAACATGTTATGGTGAACAATTTTTATTTGAAGTAAAACTCTCTATCTTTAGTTTTGTAGTTGTAGGTAGACACCAAAAAATCCATACTTTTGAAATTTTCGATCAGAGTGAACCGTGAAAATCGTACTTATGCCTCTTTTATAAGTGTACGTTACTCTTACAAGAGATTAAAAAAAATTCGAATTCGTTTTTCAGAAATTTTTGTGTATAATTCACCGCGTATAGAGCAAGTTTCATGTTTCAAATTTTTGGAATACAAAATGTCATACAGAGAGGAAATAAATATACAGGGGAAAATAGAAAAACTAAATGGTATGAACGGAACAATCCTGAGAATCCTGAAAAAGAAAGAAAGGAAGGACACTATGAGTAAAATCTATAAGGTATTACGTACAACACATTTGCTAATGCCAAAATCAACATTTTCGGTCAATCTGAACTGGCACACAGCCCTGGGAGTTTGCAAAACATTATTTACATTTTGAGAGTACTTTTTACGAAACTTTGCGAAAATTTTAAAAATGATCTAAAAAATGGCTTCAGTTGTTACTTTTTTACCTAATGCGTACGCAGTATAGAGAAAGTATTGTATAACTGCAGAAAAAACGGCGATTTTTCGACAATAAAAATTCCTATTGCCTAAAAACTACTTAAATATTGTTCCTGTGTGTAGTAAATTACTTCCTCTAACACTTTTTTAAAACACAATTTTTAAAAATTGCAAGAGTTCAAAATGTTTTGAGGGAGTTCTTACAACAGTAACGAAGATATATTTTTTCTTAAAGAAATCTGTTCATTAAAACTAGATCTTCAAATAAGGTCATGTTCAATTTTCGAACATATGAGTATATTTTACGTCAAACAGGAAGCTTTTTATTAGTAAATAATTATTTTCTCAAAAATGGCAGCAAGTTTTTAAAACAATTCCTCGCATGTAGCAAAGAATGGTAATGAAAGTAGTGCTGGTCTCATTTTCGGTGAACTTTGTGTATTTACGAAAATTCCAAAAGAAATTCGAATTTCCCTCGCTTCGTTTGATGCGCACGCGTTTTTTACTAAAAAATTGATTTTTAAATAAGGTCATGTGCAATGTTTTGAATAAATAATCGAGTAGATTTGTATAATTTCTACTTGAATTTAAACGTTTTTTTAAAATTCTAATAAACGGTTCCAAATTTTTTCTCCAGTTTTTTTCACGGATAGATGAAAGGGCGTTTAAAAGTGAAGCAGGTCTCTTTTTCGTTGAATTCTCTGAACTTTCGAAAATAACAAAATTAGACATATGCGATAAAATATCTGCTATTGTAGAACCACTAGTTGCATTAATTTTCTATACTAAGGAAAGTCATTCAATATATTCAAAGTAGGTTTACTTTATAAATATCAACTTTAAGCTAAAACGTAAAAAAAAACATTTTTATTAAGCATAAAAAATGATTCTGAGAAAACATCAAGTCGGCCGGGCACTATAAATGTCTTCTCCACCCCACTCCACCCTCCAGGAAAATCCTTGGTGCGCCTCTGTAGAACTGTAACTCCTTTACATGAAATTTCTAATTCCATGTTGGCAAAATGTGAACATTTTTAATCCCTGTAAATGCTCTAGAAGATTGTAACATTTAATCTAAGTCGCCTGTATATGCTCGCATGCAGGGTTTTGCGACGGAGACTGTGAGGGGGGAAATAGAGCAAATGCGATTTCGCGACCAGACCACTCGTAGACAAGCCCTTGTAACAAGCGTCTTCCGTTGTGGGATATGCGGGACTATGCCTAATGATACGGGGCCGGGGGGGGGGTACAGTACTGCAGCCTGAATGGGAATGGTAAGGCTCCGGAGCCGAAGGGAAAGCTTCGCGCCGAAGCTCGTTTGTGGCCTGGGCGGAAGGTAGAGAATCTGTGAATTTGAATGGAATAATTTCATTTCATACAATCTCCTTACGTAGTTGAGGTGTCGGATTCTAATATTACTTTTTTAACATCGTGATGACTTAACGATTTATTTAATTTCCTTCCTTTTTGAACAGATTTCAACTTCTGGGTTCTTGCTCTATTACGCAAACATAGTTGCTCGTGGAAATATATGCTGTCCATTTTATATTATTAATACATTGGAGTAGATCTGTGATGACTAACTGGCATGTTGTACTTGCACTTGTACGAGCATTCATTTTGGTTTTCACAGGCGCTACCTATCGACCTACTTCTTCATTGATCTCATTCCTATAATACCGTATGGTTATGTGTGGAGAGCCCACAGCGATTTAACTGCACTTGAATATCAGGCAGGCGAGTTTTTTATACTCTTGCGAATCGTCCGTATTTATTCAGTTCATCAATACTTTATGCAGGCTGCAGAGGTAAGATATTGTTCCAGAAACTTTTATTTGCAATGTATCATCACTACATATACACTTCTTAATATTGATTTCCTGTTAATTTTCAGAGGTTTCGCTTCAGCAGCATTGCGAAACGAGTAATAGCCGCTGTTTACTGTTGTGCATTAACGATTCACTGGTGTGCGTGTATTAATTTTATGGTGGATATTCTCATTCCAGGTCATAGAAGTAAGTCGTATATGTAAGTAATCATGTTTTTTTAAATTTTTATACAATTTCTCAAACAACAAACAGTACAATTGCACATACCTCAGGTGTGATGACGATTAGTACGTGTAATTGTGTTGTGGCATCGAAAATCATGTTTGTTAACTCTTCATTGAAATATTTTAACTTTAAAACTTAGTACTTTTGACTGATTGCGCTGTAATGCAGATTTTGGATCATTATGTGATCTATGTGATCTATCACTATGTGATCCAATCATTTCAACTAAAAATAGTATCATTGTCTCGTTTACCGAGCATTGTAGCCACAACAAATAGATTGACGGAAACGTAAATGTACAAAAAATGAACGGACTAGAAGTGAGAGATATTAGGAAGTTTTACATATATACTATATAATGTTAGTTGGACCTAATTATATCTTGTCCATAAAGCTCGGCAGATTATTCCTGAACTTTAGTACAGAAAATCTGCGTAAGATAACACATGTGTTTTTTTCATCTTCCCTAAAAATTGATACTTAATATCGTTGTCGTAAAACTTACTTCCTGATATTGTTAAAATATTTTTCATTTGTGATACATACCCCATTTCAACATAGGTTTTATGTTCCTTATATTTCAGACAAAATATCTGACATTATCATTCCATTTTTGTCCATGATTATACATGTCGATATCCATTTTTCATTTATGTGCTTATCCACATTCTCTTCCTCCTTATCATGCATTCAAAATTTGTGAATATGTTTTCAGGTCCTGGTCATCGTTGCAACGCGTCAGGGCGAATCTTTCATTTGAAGCAATGTGGCGCGCGAGTGTCTTCCGGACGGTCAAAATTATTTGCACGCTACCCAGCGAAGAGCAATCCGAATTCTTCGCCGATCAAGACATTGTCATCAACCTTCTAACTAACATCGCAGGCATGATCTTGTTATATTATTTAGCAGGTGAGTGCCTGAGGTGTATGAGTTCCATTATTCAACCCTGTAAAACTCTCCCTCCCTCTCTCTCTCTCTCTCTCTCTCTCTCTCTCTCTCTCTCCCTCTCTCTCGCTCTCCCTCTCTCTTCCTCCCTCTCTCTCCCTCCCTCCCTCTCTCTCCCTCCCTCTCCCTCCCCGCTCTCTCCCTCTCTCTCACTCTCTCCCCCTCTCTCTCCTCACTCTCTCTCCCCCTCTCTTCCCTCTCTCTCCCTCTCTCTCCCTCCCCTCTCTCTCCCTCTCTCTCCCTCCCTCTCTCTCCCTCTCTCTCTCCCCCCTCTTTCTCTCCCCCTCTCTCTTTCTTTCTCGCTCCCTCTCACACATGCGCACATGCACACACATACACAAACATTCAGAGTTGTGGAGGGCGCGCTGGCCGGCCCAGGGAAGTGGGATCGATCTAAGTGGCGCAGGGCATCAACTGATCCCACTGCAATGTCTTTCGTTGGAAGGTCCTAAGGTTCAAGTCCCGATGACTGCAGGAGGTTCGACGCTAGCGAGATAGCTAGGTCGGATTCGGCTGCTGCCTGGATGAGAATTCTAGCGGCCGGATACTCTGACCGGTAGCAGACCCTAACAAACGTGTCACGGACCGCGCGCGATCTTTCCTTCCCCTTTATGGTTCTGCCCTCGCTATTTACCCCCAGAACCCAAGAATACCTCCTAAACCCAATGATGTATGCTTATTGGAAATTGACAGGCATTTCGATAATAAAGATTGCTACACAATCGCTCAGACCTTTTGTACTAGTGTTTTTCTTATTTCCTTTCGTTAGCTTTTCTGTTCTGCTCTTCCCTTTTCCTAGCTGCTAAATAACATTTTTTAAAAATATGTTCTCAATTTCTCTGTCCTCTAATTGTAGAATATTGTAATTCAACATCAAGAAGATTGTAGAAGTGAAAAACATGATCGTATATGCAAATATTCATTTGTGAAATGTGGAGCACATTTTGAGAATATGTTTGGTCCCATCTAAAAATCCATAAATTTCAGCTCGTTTTGACGAAAAATTTTTAAATTTAGAGAAATTTCATAAAAAATAATTTCAAACCCTTGAACTAATACAATTCTATGTGGTAAGAACTCCAGTATGTAAATATTAACGACATAAATACTAAACTAATACATTGGTGAACTTGTTGATGATAATCAAAAGAATTCATCAAAACAATGTTGATTTCATGTTATTCAGGGCATTTTGCTTTATCTGTTCCACAGTTTTCAGGAAACAATTAACTTTTTTAAGAAAATATTTTTAATATTGTTCATGTTTCATTTTACAAAAAGAACACAATTTAAAAAACGGCTGATATTTTCAAAAAATGTGCTTGACATAAATTAAAGAACTAATTGAGGAGAACAAATTATTTTTGAAGAAAGTATCTCTATCTTCAATATTGTAATTTTATGTATAATTATAATTTTTTGTATGTATTTTATTATAATTATACGAAGGGGTTCACAAATTTCAAGCTTGTGCAATTTTCGGAAATTCAAGGGAATCGTGAAAATTGGATATATTCTATCTTGCGTAGACAATTTACTATATTCTTAAATGAAATGTAAAAAAAAGAATTGGAACCATTTTTCTTAGAAAATTTTGAAATTCCCCTAGGGGCTTATGATGTGATATTTAAAGTGCCTCCAAAATTTCCAGAATTATTTTCAAAATCATAGGTTTTTGAGTTTGTTCCATTTGAGGGTGTAAAATATTTTTAAAAGTTTTTAATAGTTTACGCGTTCAAACCGCAATATTGGGAGCAATATGCACTAGATCTCGATAAAATGCGACCAGGGACACCAAATGCACCAGTGGAACCAGTGAAACAAATTAAAAAGACAAAATGTTAGATAGTTTAACCATATTATTATTATTATTATTATTATTAATATTATTATTAATATTATTATTATATAAATAGTAAGAAAATTAGTCGTAGGTATCTAGTAACGCTAGTAACCCCTAATATAGATGTGGTTATTCCAAACGAACTCAAATTTGCCTATTAGAAAAATTCTCTCACCAGATGTGAATTTTGCTATACCAAGGCTCATATCGTTCTTTAAAGTATGTCCCAGGACAACCACATTACACATTTATCTGATTTCAAACATAATGCCTTTCAACATTCATCCAAAAACCAAAAGTAGTGGAGATACACAATGACACAGACGTATTCTTCTTCTCTTTTCTTTGGTCTAGGCTAGCAATTCTGAGTTGCCACACACTCTTGCTTGCTGCATCTATCGCCGCACAAAATACATATTTTTGCTTATATATATAATTTTTAATTATTTGTGTATTAATTTTTTTAAATGTCGCTGTTTATAATTAATAAGCCAAAAATAAGCAAACAAATTGATGCTATGAAATGTCATAGATTTTCTCATATACATAAGATGAATACATGTTCTTCTGAGTTTTAGCAAGCTCTTCTTTATATTCTTCTTCTTTGCATTTCTCTCTATTAAAACAAAAAATTGAAAGAAAAAAAAACTTTCTGGTAAACATTTTGAAAATGTCTAGGCTTAATATAAATATATCTAAAAATTAAAATCTTCTTTTGAAATTCAAGATGTCACGATATTAGCGAAATTGATTGAGTAAAATCAAGTTTGATGAAAATTCAGTGAATTGTTTAGGAGTAGCCTTCTTCCACGCTCAGATAAACCGACGTCTTGCCGTAAACATATTTTTTGGTATCCACCAAATATTTTGGCTCCTGAATACACAATGCATTACAAAAAGTAATATAAAATATATTTTAGAAAGAAATTTCTAATTTTTAATATTAGGGACCCGCAATAGTATTTCTGCCAAATATTTGCCACTGTTTTTGTAATCGGGCCATTTCTAACTTACTTTAATATAATTGATGGAAAAGAACGGTAATGTTGCGCGCACACACACACACACACACACATACGCACACACACACGCACACACGCACACACACACGCACACACGCACACACACACGCACACACACACGCGCACACACACGCACACATATTCCTAAAAATTGTTTAATCAATATAATTATTTGCGTTATTTCTAGCACAAATTGTGATTTCGACTAGAACTGCGAATTCTGCCAAGGCGAGATACGAAGAGTTGCAGGTTCAGCTATCGGAATACGTGAAATATAAGCAGGTGCCTTTGGAGCTGGAGAAGCGCTTGGTGGAATTCTATAGATACTGCTTCCGTCAAAACTTCTACAGGGAACCGGCCATTCTCGAATTCCTCTCAGGACAATTGAGGCAGGTGTGTAATTTATTAAACTTCATGGCACTAGAAACCGATTAACCTCTCACGATAAAAGTGTCAATTTTTTTACGTAATAAATTAGGATACTTACTAATCATTCAATGCTACCGCAAAAGTGTTTCCAACCCGCAAAATATATTTTGCTTGGATGCGAACTCATGAAGCGTCCAAGCTCATGCGCAAGCTATGAGAGTGACCACATGCGACGTGACATGCGAACTCATGAACGTTTAGCAAGCTATGAGAGTGACCACTACACCGAATGTCTGAGTCGACTGGAAAAAAACTCCTCGAAGCTTTAAAGAGAAAGCTTGCAATGAAAATATAACGTGTTGTATTTTTTTTACATTTTTAATATGCTAAGACTAAATCTTTAACATTTAAAACATTAATTTATTCATTTTAAATATTTTATGTTGTTCCATTAGTCAGCTAATGTTAAACCAACGTTTATTTCACCACTTTTGTTGCATTCATTGTTTATACGTAGTTTATGTACTTACATAATTTGGGACGTACATCATACTTTCTCGCTACCGCAAATACTATAGAAAGAAAGTTATGAAATAAAAAAAAAGCGCGATAAAACGATGAATCGTGGGTAGAAAAACTCTTGGTCCTGGTAACGAAAAAGTGGATAAATCGAGTTGTGAATTTTAGAAAAGAACTCTAACACGTGTAGCAAGAATCCCTGTTTTATGAATTCTCGATAGCAAAAAATCGACTGACGGTAAAATTTCCGTCCATCCGACCGTTGGCCCGTCTGGTGTATGTGACCAACACTAGCTCCTTCCTATGCGTAGATATTTGTAAATCTGAATAAATCCCTGTCGATCATGGTTTCAGATTTTTTCTATACATTTCTTCTAAGAACAAAGAGAAATACACTTATAAAGATGGCACAGATCATATTTTCACTGATAACTCTGAATTTTCGAAAATTGCAAAAAAATGAATTTTTTCCAGCGGCTTTCTACAACTCCAAATTGAAGATAAAGCTTTTTCCTTCAAATGAAATTTGTTGTTCATGATTAGTTCTTTCAATGAGATCATGTAGATTTTTTTGAAACTTTCAGTAGTTATCTAGCAATGTTGTGTGCAGTGTGTATACTTTTGAAAAAAATAACAAAAACAAGATTTTTTTCAAAAAGAGCCTACATTTTTTCTCCAATTTTTTATAGCGATAGTGCTAAATATTCTGTATGAGAGTATATTAACGTCATATTGCTCTATGCTTTTGTTTTTTCAAAAATTACAAAAACATGGTTTTTGAGCAGCTTCTCACGCCGTTAATATTTACGTTAGTGGCGATTTTTTCACATTATTATATTTATAAGTTCACGTGCAGTTTAAATGACGTTTGATAAAGTTTCTCAAAAGTTTTCTGTGAATATGTGCTCAAATTTCAAATTTTCCGGCATGCTCACCCGCCGTTTTTTTTTCAAAAACGGTTCCAAATTCTTTCTTTGAAATTTTGGGTAGGCATAGTTCTAATTACTTTACGATGACAAAATAATTTTGGGGTTTTCTATTGTTTGTTATTAACTGACACAAATTTAATTGTTTTGAAATTGTTTTACACGTCGTTAATATACAGATTTACAGGGGTTTGAATACAGTATTACATTTGTGGGTGGTTGTGCTTTAAATAACTTTAAATCAAATTTTCAAAATCTCGAATGAGTGACGCCGAGGCATATTTGCTATCTATACATAGCATTTTTTATTTTTAACATATTAAACCAACTTCGTTTTTTAATATCGTCATTTTCAACCCTCTCCCTTCCATTGTAATGACATTATAATTATTGGCTTTTAATCGAACACTATCATTTTTTTCTTCCAGGAGGTGTTGCTGCACAGCTGTAGGCGTTTGGTGGAAATCGTGCCATTTTTCTTCAACGTCCCGCCAAACCTGATGATCCGTGTGGTCACGTGCCTCGTACGCGAAGTAGTACTCTCAAACGACGTCGTCATGAAGGCAGGTTTGCCCGGAGACAGCATGTACTTCATTTCGTCAGGATCAGTCGCTGTTTACACATCCACAGGATCTGAGGTAGAAATTAACTTCGTTTTTAACTAGCCACTTCTAGCAGAGGATATCAACAATAGCTAATAGCAATTAGCTGGACTCATAGCAAGTAAAGTGGTGCTTTTTAAGGCTTTGTCGCTTGCATTATAATATGGATAACCTATAAAAAGGATGTAAATAAAATCAAGAGATACATAAGATTATCCAGAAAAGCTAATTCGTGGTTGAGCACCCTACGGAGTACGCCCCAAAGCCGGTGGTATGTATGAATGCAAGTTTGCAAGAATGCAAGAAATTGTTACGACATGCAACTTTAAGTTACTTAAATTATAAAGAGATTAAGTTTTGAAATATTGTAAAAGAGGATTTTTTTGCCATATATATTGATGAATTTGTGTTATAATGTGGTTATTGGAAAGGTGTTCTTTAATTAATCTCAGATTACTGTGTTTAAACGTATGAGATGAATAATTAAGTTTTAATTTTGTTATCATGAGTAATAGTTACCTTATATTATTTCTTAATCATAACTTAATAAATGCGGCGGCGATGGTGTAAAGGTTAGAGTATCGGACTGTTACAACAAAATCCTTCGTCCCATATTAGTAGATTTACTGCATGTAAAAGATCTTCGACCCTAAATGAAGCCTCTGAGCTGATTCAAATCGCCTGTTTAGTCGCCCGAGAGATACCTCCTTTCTCTGCTTGTGGTTGAAAAGATCATAGCGAAATTTGTGTGGTCAGAAGGAAGAGTGGGACTGCACGAGTCTTGTCACGTAAAATAAGGTTTTAATTCAATTCGACAAGATGTACGCTCTTCTATAGTCTTGATTCGAAGGTTTGAATCCCTCTTCGGGGATCGATGTTTGCATGTGCGTTGGGGCATGATGGGGATGTCTTGGGGTCCCAACCACCAATTATCCATTTTCAACCCTCTCCCTTCCATTGTAATGACATTATAATTATTGGCTTTCGTGGGTGGCACAGGGGCTTGGGTCAATTGGGCTCAATTACAGATTATTACGGGCCCTAGGTTCGATTCGCGCATATGATATTGGTGTTATATGTGATGTCGTGTGATGGCGCGCGATGGTGCGTGGCTGTGATGTCGCGTGCATTCCTAGCACATGTGTCACCCATGCGCGGATGGGTAATTTCTTTCCCTTCCCGGTAAGAGTTTAGGATCCATTTTCTCAACTCCATTAAATGAGTGATTCTAGGCTTACCAATGCTAAAGTCATTAGTCCCGTGCGTGTAGTACATGTTTTTGCTCGTGAGGTGGCCGTGATCTTTACGTCCTGACTGGCGACATCCGTCACCGACTTACGTCGGCATGCGGGGATTTTCCCCAACTAGGTATCTGCTACTGCCAGAGCACCGCCTCTGCCGGGACAAGCTCTAACTCCCGTGTGGTCTCTCGACAAAAGTGATAGCATAGTGCATGTTAGTGTAAGTTACGTAAGGGGGTGGGGATAGGACAAAGAACAGGAAGGAAAGATCGCGCGTTGCCCGTAGCCCATTTGTTAGTTGTTCCCTCTGCTCTGGTATTATCGTAGTATTAATCCACGGAAATCTATCGATCAGAACAGCCGGCCGATAGAAGTCTCCTCCAAACATCTGAATTCGACACAGACATCTAGCTAACATCAAAAATCCTGCCACAGTTAGGCTCGAACATAGCACCTCCCGATCAGGCACCGTAGTGACATCAGTTGATGTTCTGAGCCATCTTTTTTGCTTAGCGCTATCAAACTGCAGCCTTTACCGGCAATAACGGATGGGGACGTGAGGTATGCTTGTCCAACTGCTAGTATAACGACCTAATTGGACGACGTAAGTGAAGTGGATGAAGAGACTGGTGAGCGCCCACGTGGCAATGGCTGTAGGATACCGTCTCAGCAGGGGAGGGACGTCTGTAGGCACCGCAAAGTGCAACGAAGAACACATAATTTGTTTTTGGAAATGCATACAGAGAGTCTGAGAATAAATGTTACAAAGTTCTAGGGCATGTAGAAGGGATAAAAATGATGATCCCTTTAGTCACGAAAATATTAGTAGTGGAAATTTCCTAGAACAGGGTTACACATGTGATATTTGCCCCTTGAATGGTATGATTCAAATGCCACTGTGCACAAGATTCACATTAACATATGCGAGGTAAGTACATGAAATTTCCGGGTCTGCGTCAGAAGTAACAAACAAAAAAAAACAGTGCATAAGCAGTTAGCAATCACTTTCCAAATCAGGGGCAAATGTCACGTGTGTAACTCAGTATATTTCCCACACCATGTTAATTGGCATATTCCCTCAACACGCTCTAGAAGTTTGAACCATTTATTCTGGCACACGCTGTTCAGTTCTCTGATAGTGTTACTGGGAGAGATGGCTCTGGGTATCAACTGATGTCACTGCAGTTTCTCTCACCGGGAGGCCCCAGGTTCGAGTCCCGACGGTGGCAGGATTTCGACACTAGCTTGTTAGCAAGCAATTGAGTCACTGTCTGGAGGACAGTCTTCAGTCTAGCGGCCGGCTAATCTGATCGATAGGTTTCCGTGGCTTCTACGATCACATCTAGGCGAATGCAGGAGCAGTACCGTAACACACAGCCCACGGACAATGCACGATCTTGCCTTCCTCTCCCTTATCCTATACTCGCTCCTTACACACACAGACACACACCCTAATCTTGCACTACAATACCGCACATGCTCGGACACTGGTCGGGAGTTTAGAGCTTGTGATGGTGCCCTGCTGGTGAGAGATACCTGGTTAGGGAAAACCCCGCTAGCTAGACGGTAGGTCAGCACAGGGTTCCCTAGCCGGGGAAGACCACCTCCACCTCCCGAGCAAAAACACACTACACCCACACACGAGACGAACGACCCTAGTCGTTGAGTCACTAACGATCAATCACTGTGACAGTGTGGCCTTTGGTGTCGCAGATGTGCCACCTGAAGGAGGGCGCGCACTTCGGGGAGATCGCGCTCGTGATCGAGGAGGAGACGCGCACGGCGTCGGTGGTCGCCTTGGAGACGACCGAGCTGTACTCGCTGTCGCGCCAGGACTTCCTGTACGCCGTGGCCCCGGACCCGGAGCTGCTCGCCAGCATCCGCCGCACCGCCCTCAAGCGCCTGTGGCACATCGGCGAGGCCGGCCACGTCCGCAGGAAGAGGCACTCCAGAGCCACGAAGGCCCCCGCGTGGGAGAGAACGCCTTCGACAACCAACGGGGAAATAGACAGGATTCGACATCGGTCTGCAGACGGGCCTCCCAAAATTACGAGGCTGGTCTCTGTAATGTCAGTTAACCCTTCTCCTCCGCAGAACGCAGAAGAAAGCAGGGCGAGATGGCGCAGTCTGGAGAGAAGTTCTAGATAATGACGCTCCAATCCACAACAGATTCATTAATAAAATCAACAGGGCGTTCAAGTTGCTTCGTCAAACACAGAAGAAAGCAGGACTAGACGGTGCACTGGAGATAAGTTCTAGATAATGACGCTCCTATGCACAGCAGATTCATTAATAAAATCAACTGGAAGTTCAATTTGCTTCGTCAAACACAGAAGAAAGCTGGACTAGATGGCGCAGTCTGAAAAGAAGTTCTAGATAATGGCGTTCCTATCCACAGAAGATTCATTAATAAAATTACCACACGTTCAAGTTGCTTCGTCAAACAAATGCTTTATAAATTTCTCTGCTTTATCATGAATATGCAAAATGAATATGGAGGTATCAGCATTCTCTCGTGTTCATTGCCCCGTTTCGAATTTTACTTTCCTCCATACTATGAATGTAAATACATACTTAGTAAAAGGAAAATACTATAACAGGCAAATTTCCACAGAAACAACCGCATTGTGAAGCCCTGGTTTCGAAAATATGGATAAATCATATTTCTATTTGTAGTAAATTACTTCTTCTAACAGGTTATGAAGTCAAAATGGTCTTGTTTGTAGCTCCTGGATATCGAAAAATCGGTTGAAGGCAAAACGGCCGTCTGCCTGTCTATCTGTGGGCAGCGCGAGTACCTAAACCGTTCACACGATTTTCTCTAAAATTAATACTTCGCGATCGATTGCTTTACGAGCAAAAATATTTTGACAAAAGGAAATATTTTGATTAAACTCTTTCTTCACAAAGCTTATGGGACGCTTAAACAAATGAACAAGTATTATTTTCATTGAAAGTTTGATTATCTAAAAATGATAATGGTTCGAAGTTTTTGCGGGATCTTCTTACAACTACGATATTGAAAATTGAGATTTTTAGTTAATAACACTTATCCTTCAAAAACATTTTAAAATAATATCACTTGTAATTTTTTGAAAACATGAATAGATTTTTTTGTGTGAAATATAGGCAATTTGTAAAGAATTGTTTTATCAAAAACGGCTAAATCGGTGTTGGCCCTTTTTCAGCGAACTCTCGGTATTTTCGAAAATTGCAAAAAATTAATCCGTTCTAAAAGCCAGATCTTTAAAAAAGGCAGGCACAAGTATTTAAAAAAAATTTTTTTTGCTTGAAGTAAAGGAAATTAAAGATATTATCTAAAAAGTTGCTCCAAATTTTTGTTTTCAATTTTTTACGGATAGAGAGAAAAAGCTTAAAATGGAGCAGGGAGCATTATTTGTAAACTACCTCTATTTTCGAAAATTGAAAAAATAAAATTTGCTAAAGTATAATTTCGATGGTTGAGTTTCATGACTAATAATGAAATCTGTTCTTAATGAGATATGTTGTTTAAAATTAGCTCTTTAAGTAAAGTGAAGTTTTCTTTCTTATACGTTTTTGCAAATATTAGTAGTTTCATATGAATCGAATTTCCTGCACTTTGATAGTCGTAACGGCACACTGGCAACATAACCTAAAATTGAATTCCAACTACCTTCAGTGTATCAATAATAAAATAAAACAATTCTAACAAGAAAGTTTTAAAATGTGTCTATTAAATCATACTATAACCAAGGAGAACATTCCCGAAGACCCGATCCTTACATTGGGTCGTCAGAATACCTGAAGATGACAGAATGGTCGTCGAAACCTTATACAACTACAAAGATGACAAGGTGCAAAGAACTACAGTGATCTGTTCAATATAACTTGTTTTTAATTTTTTTAAATTTTAAAGAAAACTATCTTATTTCAAACTTTAAAATCTATAAATAAAACTATCTTATAAAATTGGAATTTCTTGTTATAATAACATTTCATATCCTTGCGGTATCAAGGAAACACGTTTGTTTAAATCTTCCCTCGACACCACTGGGATAAAAAAACGCTTATTCTCTTCGTAAAAGTCAAAAATTCCCAATCAGTGTGAATCAAGACGTGGAGAAAATATGTTTGACTTGTGCATGGATAAATATAGAGTGGACTATATGATACGGTAGTATTGCATGACTTCACCAAACCCTGAAGATGGGGCAGGTTGAAGTGAGACTTGGATTGCGAAATCCTTCGTGCAATACTCACAAACACGATTAGAACAAAATAGGTTTTATTCAGATCAAATGCACCTAGTTCTGTAAGAGAGACACATGCACTTTACATTGATAATATAGCTGGTATGAATGAGTTTGCTCCGAGGGGCAATATTCCTTCGCAATATGCCGTTCGAAAGAAAATGCTGGAAATTTAAAACTAGATTTCCTTCTTTGCCAGGTAATAATCACTTTACATTCTCTAAAAAGCATTCCGTTTCCGCATTAAAATATTTCGGACTCCCAGAGGTCTTTTTCAAGTATACAATCGTTCCGTTCTGCGATTTTTTTTTATCAGGGTTTGCAGATTTCCAGCATACAGTAACATTCGTAAACAGGTTTACTGTATTATTAGTACAATCATATCATTCTTATATATTAGACTGTTTAGAAATAACAGTTTCCGTAAAAATATTTTTGACACTAAAAACATTTTTTTCGTAATACTGTCTGTTAATATACATACATAGGGCAACCCCATAGAGGTAAAATGAAATAGCCGTCGGGAATTAAGAAATTAACGGCCGCCGGCCGTTAAGGAGCCAAATCATATTCAAACTATTAATTAAACTTTGAAAATAGATGACAAACAGAATATAGATAAAACCTACAAATGTAATTTGCAACTGTCCAATTATAGTATTCTTATTTTTAACTTATAATTTCGTATTATAGTAAATCTGAATATTGAATGAACCATAATAATAATAATTATTATTATTATTATTATTATTATTATTATTATTATTGCTAACTTCTATTGTTCATAAGAGGTTCAATGTGCTGACGTCGACGTTCTTGAATCTCTTGATTTTGATGCAAACTCGTCGGTGCTGAACAACTGTTTCGAAATTTTAATTTATTTTGATACCGATTGTTCACTATATTTTTCTATTACTGACGAGAACTCCTACCCTCCACGTTTTTTTCAATAATTGCGGATCGCCACTGTTTACAACTAACATTGTGGCCGATGATCGTTGAAGACAATGCCAGAGCCAAGTTCAGAGCTCAAGTGAGTCTAATTTTAAAAATTCCGGTATATTTTTTGGAATGTCCCCTATCGTGTATATACCCACAACTTGAGTGCATTTCCCATTTCTCTAATCTACGAAAAAGCGTACCTTTTTTAGGTTAGATGGACGTGGGTTAGCGTACTTTTTATACAAATCATATGCATTGAATGGATGAGAATCTTTGGGTATTGAAATCATTATATTTTTTTGTTTTTGTGCAATTCAATGTAACTAGCACTCCGTTGCTCATGGTTTTTATATCAATGGTCAATGTCACAAGTTCGTCTCGTCGACATGCAATAAAAATATTAAAACTTACAATAATGTTTTTAAGTAGCGATTTGCTTCAAATAAAATGATTCTAATACGTTCATATGAGCCTTCTCGGCCTTCTTGCTCTTCTTGTAACTGTCGCATCTGAAGCAATATTCGCATCGATTTGAAATGGACGATGACTTTGCATTTATACGTATTAAAGCAAAGGTGTTTCTTATTTACATTATATTGTTTTATAAGATGGTATTACAAAAAGTATCAAACGATACACGGCCGATATCACAAATAACAGATTTGGATGGCGTTTATCGGCCTAATAACTATAATAGCCGTATAACAATGCCATTCTGGTAATAGAAGCATGAGGGGGGATAAATTGTAACATAATATGACATATATATTCAGCTATATATTTCAACCACTTGAGACCTCCCGTGATGCACACCTGATAGACACCTCCCGTGTGTGTGTGGGGGGGGTGAGCGTGGCGCTGGCCCGGGCGGCGGCCTCCGATCGCCGTTTTCGCAAGGGCACGGCCGCAAGGCGGGGGCGGGTCGGCGGCGCGTTCGCGGAGGCAATCTCTGCCCCATCTGGCCGATTAGCAAGCTGACCGCGCGAGATAGGCGGCGCGGGGGCGGGGGCGGCGGGCCGGGCGACGATGGTTATCGCCCGCGGGGCGGCGCCGGCGGGCGCCGAGTCGGCGGAAAGCGGTAAACGAACGGGCTTGAGTCTGCACCGCCGCCGGTCGCCCGCCCGCCCGCCCGCGCCTCCCGCGCCGCTTGATACCATCGCGGTATTTAACACGCTAGATAACACTTTTACATTTCCGATCGCGGGCTCCCCGGTGCTACGGCCGGTCGCTGCAGCATGTTTATGCGTGCACGATAAGCGATACTGGCGTGCCCGACGGCGAACGGCGGCAGGCGCGGCGGGCCGCACTGGCGAACGTGCTGGCGAGTGGGGCGATCGGAGAGCCACAGGAGAGATGACGGCAGCAGGCAGCACGCGAGCAAGCGAGCGAGGCGGCGAACGAGTGGCGAGATGGTTTTGGGCGGGTTGTGAAGCAGCGGACGAGCGTGTGATTGCGCGACTCTGCTTATTGCGGGGGAGTCAGCAGCAGCAGCAGTAGCAGAAGGGTTTTTCAGGACGAGTGAAGCAGCAAGCGAGAGAGCAAGTTTGTGAAAATGTGAGAGGGAGAGGGTGAAAGTGAGAGAGTGGGAGCTTGCGAGAGTGAGAGCGTAGGATAGAGGAAGCATATGAGAGAAGGGGCGTAGGAGGGAAAGCGCAGGAAGGAGATTAAGAGACAGGGAGCCTAGAAGAGGGAGATTAGGAAAGAGATAACGTTGGGGAGAGGGAGCGTGCGAAAGTGGCCCCGTGCAAGAGAGTAAGCGTGCGCGAGAGGGAGCGTACGGAAGAGGGAGCGTGCGAAAGAGGGAGCGTGCGAGAGGGAGCTTGCGAGAGAGTAAGTGTGCGAAAGAGGGAGCGTGCGAGAGAGGGCGCGTGCGAAAGGGGGGAGCGTTGTAGACACTGAGTGTTCGACAGAATGAACGTGTGAGAGTGTGAGCGTCCAAGAGAAAATGTGTCTAAAGGAGCATCCGTACGAGAGAGGAAGCTCACGAGAGACTGAGCGTGCCACTGTGCGAAGGATCCAGCGTACGAGAAAGCACGAAAGCTTGCGAGAAACTGAAGGTGCGAAAAAACGAACGTCCAAGAGTATGTGAGTTTCAGCGCGCGCGAGAGTGCGAACAGACAGCGAGAAAGCGTGGGACAGAAGGTAGATTTCGGGTGAGAGTGAATAAATGTAGCAGCCTGCGAGCAGAGAAGGTAGTTCTCTTGGCTGAAGAGTAACCGTCTAACGAGGTAGTGAATCGGAAGCCGAGAGAGAAAGATCGGAGGTAGCCAGCCTGAATAGCCGAGGCTGGAGGGTCGTGGTTGCCTTGGCTCGAAAAGTCGCGGGTCGAGTCCCGCCCCGGCGATGGATATTTGTGTGTGTTGATGTTGTCCTTATGTATTTCCTTTACAGTTACCCCAGTATTAAAAATCACTGTAGTCGCTATCTGACCAAGCAGTTAAAAAGCTAACTTAAAATTAAAAAATAAAAACATCGGAGGTTATGGCATCAAGCTACACGTGGGCGAGCGAGCAATTGGCCGGCTATGAGCAGTGAGTGAGCATGCGAGTGGAGAAGCAAGCGAGGGAGAGAGCGAGCTGCGGGTTGGCATTGAGCAGCGGTTAGTACTAGCTCAACAGCTCCTTACGGAGCCAAGGCCTACCAGCGGCCATGTGTTAAGGTGTACGTGTCCTTGACACATTGATATCCACACGCCGTAATCCGACCATCTCAAACTGAGAAGTGAGTTTTCTCAGCGGCACCCAGCAACATGTACTGGGACATTTCAAGGAAAGTGCACACTAAGATGTGCTCGAACTCGGAATCGAACCCGGGAATCGCGTCATGGAAAGCGAGTGCGCTGATCAGTGAGCTACCTCGAGGGATGAGCACCGGGCAGGCACCTGCCCGAAAGTAAGAGTGCAAACCAAAGGAATTCAGCAACGAGCGGAGACGGTCAAAGCGAGCAAACCAGGCAACGGCCGACAGCGAGCAGCAGATTGATTTCGAGTAGTTGGCTGCGGAACGGGCGAGTGGCGACCGTCGGCTCGCGTGTCCGCGCCTGGCTTCGCTCGGCCACCCCCACCCGTCCCCGGCTCGCCGCCCGGCCACTCGATATTGCGGCGAGTGTTTGTCAATAAACAGCCATGAAAAATATATTATGGGCGGTTTGATTCGCAGCAGGCTTTTAATTCGCGCTAATCAAATATATTGGTAATATTTTACTGTCGTAATGAAATCGCGATCGTCATCCAGGCTGCGGAATGAGTTTCATAGTTTATTTACAAGCACGCATTTAACCCGCAGCGCAGGCCCCCGCCCCCAGCGCCCCGCGCGCGCCGCGCGGCCGTCCCGCCGGTCCCGGAGGTCCATGTAAAATAACAGAAATAATTATGCCCTGATTCGTCCGGCGCGGAAGGGGGGGGGAGGGCGATATTAATCCCGTGCCGCCCGGCTCTGCGCGCCGCTGCGTGCGGCGGCAGTTTGTGGAGCACGCTGCGGTAGACAGAAGACGGAAGACCTGGAGATTACTAGCCATGTACAGCCAAACTAATTATTATAACAATACAGACGATAATGATAATAATAAAAAAGTATATTATTATGATTAATAATAGAGATAATAATAATAATAATAATAATAATAATAATAATAATAATAATAATAATAATAATAATAAATAGAAGGCCACTCGTGGCTCAGAGCAAAGTGTAAAGATGAACAGCTTCAAGTCTAGCTGCCGTTAAGTGATGTTTGCACACGAGGGAGTTTCTTCGTCTGTGCAACGCCATC